GGTGATAGAGAATTTATAGAAAGAGTATTTGTCAGTTTGAGCTGCTAACGGGTGCAATCTAACGAATTTTTTGTTGCTAGACCTCGAGCCAGAGGCAATGTCTTTCAGGGATAATTCAATATGCAAAGAGACATTTCAATTTTTATGTGCATACGGTGCAGCGACAAGATATGGCGATTCATTATTCACATATGAGCTTGAGCTCATGAAAACGACGACTGGCAAGGCGATTCTCAAAGCGCTACGATAATATTGCCCGTGATAGATCTCTCGAACTGCAGCGTGTAAGTCAATGAAAAGTCCAAGTCGACCTGTAAAGGGGTTTTTTAATGTATTAGGTTGTATTTATTTATTTTACTATTTACCTCATGTATATCATCCAGCGGTAACACACAAAGCATCAGAAATGCGGTGGCGATAGGCGAATTTGGCGTGACACCGGCCAGTTCCAAAGCACCTTTGTCCTCTAGTCTGACGGAGGCTTTCTGAAAAAAAAAGCACATTTTTGTCAATTTGTAGTCATGCAACTTTTCAAATAATCCAGCCAAATTTTTTATTACATCAATCACAAAGTTTTTACAATAATAATTTTGAACAAGCACTAGTTTACTACGAAAAATAAGCTTTTCCTACCTTGTTAGCGGTGCTCATTGTAAGCCGAAGATGTCGTAATTTTTCTACATTTGTGTTGATAATTGCGACAATAAAACTTCGTGCTGATTGATGGGCTTGAGGAACGCAGCTGAAGAAAAATTACTTCATTCCAATAGAGTCATGGAAATAAAAACGAATTATTCTTACTTATAAAGCAGGATAAGAATATTTTGTTTGTTAAGCACCGTTCTCGGAGGCACATTAGCTGCAATATTTCGATTAGTTAGAGTAATTCGGAAGATAAAGTAATATTCACACCTAGCTGCACTGAATTCGGATCAAATGATATCCTCTCAGGCAATATTGATAGAAGATCGGCCTAAAATTAGATTTTTAGAGGTAATTATTGAACTGCCAAGCTCACCTCAAAGTTAGATCTTCCTAGGCTATCCAGAGGACTTATAGAGACATTGGGTACCGTAGTTGACGTGCACAAGTCGTTTAGGGTAGGTTTAACGGTTTTGAACCTAAAAAGAGAATCTTAATGCTCCATAAGGTTGGTGCTAAGCTCTCACGTCTGAACAGGTGGCTGCTTGGAGAAAAGGTCTCCATCGATGAGAGTGCTCAGATCGTCCAAAACAGACGAACTAGGCTGAGGTGAAGGTGAACTTTTTACCTTGCGAGGCAATGCCGGCGTCATGGACTGAAAAAAGAGTATTGTAGACATTATGAGAAAGTTACACGAACA